TAAGCATCGTTGGCGTCAATAATATTGTGGCGATTTTTTACATTTCTTCTAAACGAATTAGTGCCCTCTCTATTAATTTTGCTTTATAATACTAAGCGTATATAGCTTTTTTCAGTTAGTATTTATTACCAAAATTAATTAAGCATCATTGACATCAATAATATTATGGCAATTTTTTACATTTCTTCTAAACGAATTATTGCCTTTTCTATTAGTTTTGCTTTATAATACTTAGCGTATATAGCTTTTTTTTCAGTATTTATTACCAAAATTAACTAAGCATCGTTGGCGTCAATAATAGTTAGGCGATTTTTTATGCTTCTTTTGAACGAACTTGTATCATTTTTCCATTAATATTGCTTTTAACATAGCATGAGTTTTTTCATTTTCAATTACTAATAATTAGCAAAATTAATTAAGTATTAAGAGAGTCAATAAAATTATAGCAATTTTTTGGCGTTTTAGAGAGATTTAGTACAATTTCTCTATAAATTTTGCTTTTTAGCACATATAGCAATTTTTTATTTTATTTCAATTAGTACTTATTTTCCAAAACTACTTAAGCATCATAGACAATTATTGTAGTTCGATTTTTTTACGTTTCTCTTAAACGAATTAGTACCATTTTTGTTTTAATTTTTTTAGCAAATATCTTATTCTTTATTTTAATTTTTACGTATTCCTACAATTAGTTAAGCCTTATTGGATTCAAGAATAATTTGGTGATTTTTCACAATTCCCCTAAAAGAATAAGTACTTTTCTCTCCTTAATTTTGCTTTCTGGAACATAGCGATTTTTTTAAACTAAAATATTGCCTATTTCATCAAACATCATTGACGTCATTAAGAGTATGGCACTTTTTTACGTATCTCTTATACTAATTAGTACTATTTTACCATTAATTTTCGTTTAACCATTAATTTTCGTTCTAATTTTAAAATAAAATAAACACATGGTTTCAAAACACTTTAAAATGCCATTTTGCTGGCCGCTGATGCCATCATGTTCTTGCTGATCATTGAACTTATCTGACGTAACGAATAAAAATAATTAAGTACTGAAAAACGTGCAAGAAAACCTTCTTTTTTTAATGAGAGCTATAAGATAGCAAATACCATTGATGTAATCTTGGAAACATTTGAAGGAAGGAAAATTGGCTGCAGTCTCATTTTTATCATTGGCGAGTTCTGAGCCAACGAAAAAATTCTTTTTTTTAAACATTTCTCTTGAACGATCTAATTAAAATTTCTGAACGAGTTTTAGGGTCAAAGGCTAAAATTGTCTCTTTAACGCACTGTCCAAATTTCAAGAAAAACGGTTCTGGAGTTATAAGAGAGACACACAGACAATCACACAAACTCTTCATTTTATTATTATTGTTTATGTACTAACAATGATAAAAATGTTATGCATTTCTCACAAAGGGCTAAAGTTTTTGCTAAGCTGCCCCACGTCGAATCTATTAACAATTTATGTGTTGATTGCAGCTGGATTTTAAAGGAAGTACGATTTTCGAATATTGCGATCTATAAACGTTAGTTCTTTTAAATATATATTTAATACCAGGATCAAGTTTTTCTTTCTATAGGGGAGAGTGGGGTCAATTGTAACAGGGTACGATTGTAACAGAGCAAAAATTTCGAGTGTCGGGTTCTAGATTTGGTTCCTAGGTGGCGCACAAGGTGTATTTAATAAATCTACATGTACACCCCTGCTGGCAACCATTTTTATGTACTTTTGAAAGAGTTACATCACAAAAGATATTTTCACGCCACGCAAGTACTTTTTTTGGTATTAGAATATTATATTGTAACAAAGTAATTTTGTTTAAACAAATAAAAATTAGTAACCGAATATGTAAGTGGACACTTTAATTAACATTTCAATAAAAAAAAAGATTAGTTTTGCTAATTAACTAGCATTGTTTTTAACAAATGAAGCTGAAATGGCGTCTTGGGGACAATTGTAACAATAAGTAAAGGGACGATTGTAACAGCTGAAAATAAATAATCTTATGTTTACAAACCATTACTTAACTCTTTAAGAACCACCAATAGTTTCCTATATCATTTATATTATGTTGCATGTGCATTATTTTATTTGTCACCTTTCACAGCATAAATTAAAATTTTTAACCCCTTAAAGTTAAAAGTTTAACCCTTTAGGTCTCTGCTCATTATTATTTTTACTCCTAAAATATCACTACTATTTTGATCAATAAAAAAATATATCACAACTATGATAATATGTATAATTAACTATGTTTTAGTTGAATTTATGAACTGTTACAATTGACCCCGTAAGTGGGGACAATTGTAACAAGTGCACGACTGTCAAAAATTGTTAATAACTAATATAATAACATTTAAAATAAGGTATTTATTTTTTTTTCTAGTAGAGGATAGTCTACTTTACTCGTCTGTCAATTAATACTAATAATATATTGGATTTTTTGTTAGTTAAAAATAGTTAAGTAAAAAATGTTACAATTGACCCCACTCTCCCCTACTATTAGTATTTCTTTTAATTTTCTAAATATTTTTGTTCCTTTATGTATCTGATATTGAGGCGCTATCACACTATAGATCATTAAAGATACGGAAATAAATATTTCACATTGATGTTGCATAATTGCATGAATGATTCCTCGCGCCTAAGGAATAATTGATAAAGCGTTTTGTTGTTTAGAAAAACATTTCTGTTCTCCATTTTTACGAACACTCTATTTTTACACACGGTTTATAGAGAGGACCCATTTATTCAACCATTGACTTGAACCAGATAACGATCCATCTCCAATCCAGTACCCCAGAGGTATAATTTGTTATGGGAACAAGGAGGAATTTGTGACCTAAGAGATTTAACGTGCACCATTTACTAAACGGGGAGTCCTCCGCAGGCTGGATTCGAACTGCCGTTCTCACGATCGTGAGTCCTGCGCCCTACCAACCAGGCTCTCCCGGCCAACAGCTAAAGGTGACAGATTTCAATTAATAAGTTTGAGAAAGTATGTACTCGTAAGATGTTAAATCACGAGCATATTATAGAGGTTGGAAAAAATATTTAAACACTTCTATACTAACTCTATGTAAACGATTTTTCGTTTAGAAGCACATTTTGAAAGATCATACTTGAAGCTTTCAGAAATGGTGTACTTTTTACCCTTACAAAATTTCCATCGAGCAAAATAAGCACGTAAAAGGCTTTTTTCTTTTCTTTAAAATCATTATACTTTTAAAATTATTTTTATGTAATTATAGCTATACTGTATCATGATTTCAAAATTGCAGGTATTAATGTTAGAAATAAGTTTATCCACCTCATCTATTCATTTTGGTTGATCCGAAATTTACATGGGTAAAAAAGGACACCATTTCTAAAAGCTTCAAGCATGATCTTTCAAATTGTTCCAACAGTTTTTGCCATGTAAAGTCTTCTAACACACTTGATACTTAAAGAAAAATTGTTTACTTAGAGTTAGTATAGAAGTTTTTCCATATGCTTGTCCAACCCATGTATTTCCTTTAGAGAAAGAATCAGGGCAGATCAGCATAGGTCCTGAATTCTCCAGAAAAAAAATCAAATAAAGCTATGCACTTTGATAAATTTGGTTGATTGCTGTATATTTGTCTGTTTCTGGAGTTTCTAAAATTTACTTTTATTTTCGTTTATGACAGTCGATTTATATTAGACTGAAAAACTCGGCCTTTGCGATAATAACACAAAACTAAAGATATTTCTTAAAAATCTAAAAACACACAAATGAAACTTACGAATATAAAGTAACTTTCAAAAAAAACGTTGTTAGCGGCGTTGTTTATATTTTATTTTATAATCGACGTTGAACAACCGAAACAATTCTGAGTTTACGACAATCAACATTCAAGAACGTGGCCTTGTATTTTTGATCCCAACCCAGAAAAAAGAATACTTCTGGATCAAGCATTGGGACAAACTAGGAGGACTTTTGATTGAACTAACCCGCATTTACCTAGCATGGAAAGGAAAACCACGAAAAACTCCCTCGGTTAGCCCGATGGTAAGGCGATTCTAACTCGTGATCCGTCTATCACTGAGGCTATTTTACATCAGGATTGTGGTTGGTGCGAGTCCAGAGCAGAAATCGTATCATCGCTGGGATTCGATCCAGGGTCACGTCATTGGGAGGCAAGCGCTTTATCCTCTGAGCCACCAAGACTGCGTTTATAAAATGTTTTCATATTGATATAATTTCGTCCACAAAAATCAATAGAAAAATTTAAAAATTTTTTTCAAGTTCTAATTGGATGGAGGTCTTGCATTTTTTTTAATAATTAGACGTTTTTTTTTTAATATTATATGCCAAGTAGAGAAAATATCGACCACCAGTTTATAAGTGAAAATTAGAAATAATAATAATAATAAAGCAGATTTAGAATTTCATTATTCATATTTGAAACTCGACGATCGGCCTGTTAGGGTGCAGGGAAATGTCCTTGCATCAGAAGGTTCTGGGTTCGAATCCCGGGGATGGGAGCGACTTTGGCCCACCTAATATGGTGCCCCTGTAAGAGAGGTCAACAAAATCGCCCTGCATAATCCTGAATTGACGGATGTTAACACAGGTGGGCATTGGAAAAAAAAAATAATATTTGAAACTTCGAAACTTTAATTTAGATCCATATGAACTCAATTTTCTTTGAACTTTGAAATACCTACGGAGATAAACAAAATTTGCCATGAAATATATCTCCCGCCTTATAGCCTCCTCTTAATAGTATTTAACAATAATATTTTATCCATTAGAAATCCGCGGTAACAATTGAGATAATGCATAAACCCGGGAAATTTAATGCGCACTAAATAAGCTTATTTTGGGACTGGTATTGCGTCAGAGGTAGATGATGATTACATAACGAGTTTGAGAATTACTCGCCAAAAGACGCCAAGCAACCTTGTTCTCTTCGCCTCAGAGTGGTTGCCATGGCCACCGCGCCAAAAGGGAAACGATCTTCTGCAGTTACGCAAATCTCATAGTTGTTTCCAGCTATGCTCGGAGCGGGATGTGATGTGTTCCGATTTTAAAGTAATTTGATTTGTTTGGAAATTGTATGTTACCGATCTGAGTTCAAAGGAATACAAATATGTGTGACGTTTGAGTTCAATGTAAATGTTTATTGTGTAGACTAGTGTGTTGGATTCCTTAAAAATCTGAGAAATTATCTCCTCTATTTACATACAAGTCCAAATTATCAGAATCTGATGAATTCGATTTAATGATGAGAAAAATCCTCAGTAAATAGTTATCGTGAGTACACGTGTTTCTCTTCTCTCCTTTTATTTATTNCCCCCCCCCCCTTTTTTTTTTTTACATATGTAGACTTTTTCTCTTTTATTTATATCATGCTTTTATATTGAGTAAATAAAGTACAAAATTTTCCGTACTTTAGATATAGAAGTGTATTAATTATGTTTTTAGGAATCAAATGTTTTTAATACATGATATTAGTTAAATTGTGCATAATACTTATTAAACATTTTGATCAAATGTTTTTCGGTTTGTGAGATTTTTTTTTATGTAACTGTAAAGTTATAATAAACTATACTGCTTTATTTAAAAAGTTTACAGTAAAAATAATATATTTTATTTAGTTTTTGTTTATTATTTTTTTTTACCTTACTTTGGAAGCAGATGTTTTTATGGATTGAGATTATATTTCTTGCATGTAAAATAATTAGGGTAACGTCACAAATTTTGATTTTTGTCTTAAGTAAAAGCAGTTTAAGATTTTAAAAAATGTACTTTTTGTTTAATATTCTGCATTTGTTGTTTCATTGAAATTTCTCGATCTTTATCATAAATTTTATTGAGTACTAAGATAGTGTTCGCTCATAAATTTAACTTTTACGTTTTATTTTATTTCGCAATGCGTATAGCAAATGGAAGTTGTAACTTTGTCCTATGTTTTTGAGATTGTTTTCTTTATTATTTCGATTTATTAAGTTTCCATTCTATACATTGTAATTCTACATTCTATAAAAAAAAACATATATTCTATGAAGAGTGTTGGAAAATTAGGTACCGAAATTTCTCTGCTTACTTGGAACGTTTCTATCTTGTTACAGCTGTGTGGGTTAGACGTAGCAGTGCGCAGAACTTTTTACAACAAAAGAAAGTTGACAGTTTTTTTTAAAGGCAATTTTATTGTAAAGATATAAGTATTTTTAAAACAGGGCTAGAATTGTCTTAGTTTTTTATTTAAGTTTTAGTTGGAATGGCATAAATGATATAACTCTTGCTTCATTCAGTCTTGCCTTCAAATAATAAACGAAGTTGTGTTGCTAGTAATAAACTCTAAGTTTGATTACCCAATGTTTAAGTTTAAAAAGAATTATAAAAGAATAAGTCATACTTTTAATTTGTCTTACTATTTGCATAATTATTATGTGACGAATATTTTATGCTTGATAAATTCATTTATTTGTTTACTTTCAAATTTTAAAATCGATCGATTAAATTATTACAATCGGCAACATCTTTGCAAGATTATATTGGAAATACATCTAAAAGTACAATATAATCTCAGCAAATACTTTTTTAGTAAGAAAACAAACTTTTAGTTCTTAAATTTAAGAAAATTTTAGAAATTATGAATAACATTGCACATTGACGCATTTAATAGCAAAGGAAGGTTTAAAATCAGAAAAAAAAAACTTTTGCCAATTCTTATTTTTTATGATCGTTTTCTTTAATTGTTTATAATTTTTTTTTGAACTACATTGTATTGGTATTTTTGAATAAATTGCAGCATTTCAAGGGTTATAAATAATTGTACAGTAGTAGTAATTTCTTGTTTTTTAAATTTAGTATTTTGCCTTTCCTTTTTTTTTCTTTTATTGATAGAAGATGTGTCTGTCGAGTTTTCCCATAACTTCACAGTAAAAGATGTTTACGTGGAAATATTAATTATTACCAGAGCCCGGATTTTGATGACCTAAAAAATCTCAACTAATGCCCTTAAAAGGTGCAAAAAATGCCCTTAAAAAGTGCAAAAAATGCTCTAAAAATGCGAAAATTGCGTTAAAAGTGCCTTATGACATGACTTAAATAACGTAAAAATATTGAACTAAAGCAATGTTTTGCTCCTTAAAATTATCACGAGTCATTTCAAAAAATATGAAGCAATGCAATACTTGTTCTACGTTCATTAAAGTTTGAAAAATATGTTTTATATCCTAAAATAACAAAAAAAAAGGAAAATTTTCATTTTGTATAGAAACTATAATGAATATAACAACTTCGATCTCATAATATTACTAAATGTCAGAATTACATTGGATTATTAAATGTTTTTTGATATTTTGTAACGTAAACGAGCATCTCTTGTCTGAAAGTAAATTTTTATACCTGGAGAAGCTTCTTTCAACGTCTACTGATGTTATTGGTGCGTACTTGAAAAAGACGGTCTCACTTACTGACAATTCTTCTTCAATTTGAAAATATGTTGCTTCACCTGTTAATATCCTCGAGATTTTCTTCATTGTTTGGAAGCCAGTGTTCTTCTCCAAAAGTTTGTTCAATTTAGCTGTTACACTTTCCCCTTGCTTTTAGCAACACTTGACTCACTACGTCAATATAATTTACTGCATCGCAAAGTTCCAATTCTTGTTTCTCCAAGCTTGTAATTGTCGAGGACACAATAGCAAAGTTAGACTTGATAAATGCTAAGTTTCCTTCGATTTTATCAGAGGCCAACACGCTATCTTAATTGACGCAGCATCTTCTGAATCAAGACAAATCTTGCCTTTCATGTAATAAAAATGCCCCAAAAATCGGAAAAAATGAACAAAAAACTTAAATGCTTTAAAATGCAAAATACACCCCAAAATTAAAAAAAAAAAAAATGCCTTATAAATCTAAAAAAAGGCTCTATAGTAGAAAAAATGCAAATGTCATCAAAATCTGGGCCTTAATTATTACGATTAAGACTAAACTTGGTGTTACTTCTGAAAAAGAAACTAATTTCGAACACTTTGAATTGTTATTTTCTCTTATAGATATTATCTATTATGCATTTCTCTTAATAAAATAGAACTATTTTAGAAAAATATATTTGTTTCCTAATGTAATAAAATGCACAACCAAAATAATTACATTTTATAATTTTTGTTCCCTTTTATAATCATGAAACACAATCTTCAGGGAAAACAACAATAAATTCCAACTTTTATAATCATGAAACACAATCTTCAGAGAAAACAACAATAAATTCCAACTTTTAGGAATTAATTTTCAATTTCATAAGCAAAACCTTTCTTCTTTAATAAAATGCAACATCGAGACACATCAAAGTGTTGCATTGTAATAGTTTGTAAGTTATACAATAGTACTAAAAAAGTTTACTAATATTGCTGTTTTCTGGATATCGCACTAATCCCTGTAGGGGATCCCAATTTGACTTTTATTAAAATATTTTAAATACTATTTTTAAAACTGGAAAATAGTTTTAGGTGATATTCATATATAGAGTGAATATTTTTAAAATTTTTTGTGGGGTATATTTTAAAACCAAATATCTTAATTTTACAACCCGAAAGCACAAAATTTCAAGTAAAAAAAGCACTTTTATAAATTAGTTTTGCAAAATCTGGATTTTTTAAGTTTTTCTTTGAAGAAGGGTAATATTTTTTGAGATATATATTTTTATTTGTCGTTTTGTTTCATGATCAATGTCTGAAACTTCATAATCTCAAAAAAAAAAAAAAAAAGGAAAGAAAAATGGACGATTTTTACTTTTATAATCAGGACTTAAATCAGATGGGAGTGCATAGTAACACCGATTGTTTTAAATATAATACTTCAGTTCTTTAAGAGGCTGCTAAAATATTACTGTGAGCTTGGTTAAATAATTGTTTCATTTATATAACAATTTATGCTATGATTACTTTACGACTTTAGTACTCCCACTTACCAATCCTTTAACACCGCATTTGCTACAACGCACGGTTGTTTTTCCTTAAACGTATTAGTTTTATCTTTTCAATATTTTACTAAATACTGCCGTAAGGGAGTGTATTTGTGATTTCCTTTTGTAATTTTAATTGAAAAAGTTAAATGTATTTTCGTTTTCTGAAAATCAGTGGGATTTATTGAAATTTTTTCAGAGGATATAAACTTATCAGCCTTAAGGGGATAAGTACCTTTGTTTCTTGAGAAAGTCAGTAATTTTCTTATCATATTTTTAGCTTTGTATTTAGTTGTGCTGCTTGTTTCTTTCAAAAAAATATTTTTTTTTGCGATTTTACAAATTGAAAAGCGCGGAAAATAATTTCTGAAAAACTCTAAATGATATGATCAGCAGCGGCGATACAGGAGATAGAGCGTTCGCCTACCAATGAGGTGAACCGGGTTCGAATCCTACCGGTGGTTGGTCGATATGATTTCCGCATCCGGCTTGCACCGACCACAGTGCTGACGTGAAATATCCTTAATGGAAGACAGATCCTGGATAAGAGTCACATTCCCGTGAGGCTAATCGTGGGATGTGGGATATTTTCGTGGTTTTCCTCACCATATAACGCAAATGCGGGTTAGTTCCATCAAAAATTCTTCCACGAAGGAAAATTTCCCCCTCTACTTGATCCAGGAGTTCCCCTGTCTTTTGGATTGGGTTCAAAATTTCGAGGCTACGTAGTTGATCATCAAAAATTGGGTCGGCTGTTCAATTGTCGGTCCTGTCTGCTATACTGATGCTCTAAATAAAGGAACCAGATAAAAAATTTCACCTAATAAATTTCCTGTATCGGAGCAGTAGCGTAAAATAAAACATAATACTGATTAATTTTTAGTCGCGATGGCCCTGTGGTTAAGGCGCCGAACTTTAATTGTGAAGAACCGCGGTTTGATCCCCAGATTTCCCCGGGGTTCGACCCACCTTCATATCTGTACCGGCTTTTTTGGGGAGTAAAGGGAAATGGGTTTGGAATAGTACAGAGAGCTCTGTGTTCCAACAATTGAAAATTCGTAAAAGGAGGTTAAGCTTCATGAAGTCAGTAATTCTGAACGGACTTGAAAATATCTTAAAAAATGTTAGAAAAGTTGTATCAAATTTTAAAACTATTTTTAATGCTTTTTTCAAAAAAAGAAAATGAATGTTAACTTTGGAAACTTTAGCAAATTCGATCTTATAGTGTCTTGCTTAAGAAAATGTAATTTTAAAGTTATTATTGATTTATTGTAAACTTTTAAGATTCTTGATTGACGAATTTAGAAATTGTATCTTTCTGAGATGATTCTTTCTGAGATTT